CAATCCCAAATTTATGAAGAGAAGAATCAGAGGAGATAATTAGAGATTGTACCCGCAATATCATTTGATCGAAATATTTTTCAAGTTGTACAAAAGGTTTTATGTTTCCATGAAATTTGTTGTTACAAATTTGGCACGCCCAGTGGGACCTTCTCTACCTCTCATCTCTTCTCTCCAAATTAAGTTCGAAGATCTTTGAAGATGCATGAAGACCTCGTTGAAGAAATTATACATGGGGGCAATGAAGAATGATGTCTTCCCAAGTCATGAAGCATGGGGACAATTCACATGAAGAGCTCCATCAAATATTCAAATGCTCCTTGATATGAGCCTAAACTATCTACATATTCAAATGCTCCTTGATATGAGCTTAAACTATCTACATATGCTCATTGCTATGAGCCTAAATTATCTATATGGCTCCTTGACACGAGCATAAAATGTCTAAATATCAAGGTCTCCTTGACACGAGAATAAAAGGTCTACATATCATACTTGAAGGCTCCTTGACACGAGCATAAAAATGTCTACATATCAAGATCTCCTTGACACGAGAATAAAATGTCTACATATCAAATTTGAAGTCTCCTTGATACGAGCATAAAATGTCTATAAATTTGAAGACTCCTTGATACGAGTATAAACTATCTGTCAAATCAAATCAAGACTCCTTGTTACGAGTTTAAACTAACTACAAATCATGTCAAATAAAGAACTCCTTGATACGAGTATAAACTATATGTCAAATCAAATCAAGACTCATTGGTACGAGTATAAACTATCTTCCAAATCAAATCAAGACTCCTTGATACGAGTTTAAACTATCTACAAACTCAAGTCGAAGAGCTCCTAGATAAGAGTTTAAACTATCTGCATTTCCAAACAAAATTCAAAATTTTGAGACTCATTCACTACCAAGATATTTTGTCCGTGAACAAGTCTCAAGGGGGCATTTGTAGACATCGAAATTTTAATATTTTATTAATTACTGTCTTTATTTATTTTTGGACATAAATTCAAGATAAATAAGATATTTAATTAATAAAGTAATTATTTCTTGCCCACCAAGTCAAATCTTAGGATAAGGAAAGAGATTATATCAAATCTTAGGAGAAGGAAAGAGATTATGTCAAATCATGAAGGACCAATCAAATTGAAGTCTTATTCTCCAAGACTCTCTCTCACACACCCTATAAATAGGGCTCTCCTCAATCCCACAAACCACACCTCAAACACCTCAAACACCTCAAAACACATCTCAAAAATCAAAGTCTCAAATTCAAGCGCTCTCAAGAAATCCTCTTGAAGATTTGAAGAAGTTCTTGAAGAACCGTCCGAGATCCGTTCAATGAAGTTTTTTTTTTTAAGAAAAAGAAAACATTCATAAAAATAGTTAAAGTAAATAGTATATGTATATGTGTATATGTATATGTATATATAGATAGAATATGACATGATCAAATAATATATAAAAGTATCTATAATATCATAAGTCTAAATAAAGACATTATAAAGTTTATGAGAGAAAATTTACATAGTATATATAAAATAAATATTGTCATGATTATGACAGTACCTAAAAATTTGAGTATAGAAGGTTTCAAAACTATTAAAGTAATTTGAGTACAAAAGATTTAAAAAATATTATTATTTTTTAGTTACCATAAAAGATTTATGTACGCATACAATTACACGCTATATGCAGATTATCAATTTTATGGTATTTATTTTATATCTAACTAAGATTAAAACATATTTGTTACCTCAAAAGCAATTTTGTACGCATAACAAATCCACACAAGATGCACATTTATATCCACACTCAATTTTACAAATACAAATCGAGAGATTAATGCAAGCCGTAACAAATAAATTTGGACTATGATTAAGAAAAAAATTGAAGACGATATTTAATTCTGCATTGTTTCTATTAACTTTTTATCGTATTTATATTTCTATTAACTTTGTACTGTATGTATTGAAAATTTTTGGGGGAGAA